AATTAAAATTAATAACCTCTTTATTAACATAGGCTTAATTCAACAGTGTTATACTATCTTAAGTTATGTTATAATGGTAAATTTTTTTTTTTTTTGTCTTTTTATCATTCAAAAATATATACAATATTAATTAAAAATAATCAAAATATATAAAACATTAATTACAATTAATTAAATTTATATATTATCATTTTTGGGTAAAATATTATGCGAAAAATGTTTATCAACAAAGGTGAAACTAATGAAGAGAAAAAAATTACTATATTTTATAAAAAATAATATATATCAATGATACCCCCTAACAAAAATTGAAATCTCAACTCCTTTGTGGCGTCGATTAAGCCAATTAAAACCCACACCTACTATATTTCAAACCTTTTGCAGTTCATCACCTCGAATTCGCCTTATAACCTGCTCTTTTCACCCTGTCTGTGAACATCTCCTGTCTCCATCGCCATCATCCAGCTTGTGATCAAGTGCAAAACTAGTGAAATTTAGCAGTGCTATTTAATTACCATAATAACGAGAAGGTGAGAAGGAGAGAGAAAGGGAAAAGCTGAAAAAAGATGAAATATATAGAAACTAGTTACGAAGTACAAGACAGAGGCACTACCAAATTCAAAATGAAATTTGAAACCATACAATCGTTTTTGATTGAGTTTACGGTGATTTAATAATATTTCAAATGAAATCTTTTCATCTTACTCAGTTATAAAAGTTTTATGAAAGCAGAAGGATTAGAAGTAATAGAGGTAGATTTTAATTAATTAACCCATGATTGCATAATAAATTGAAACTTTAATTTTTATTGGGAATTGAGATTGATATATATTATTCTCTTCAAAACATTTATCAACTATTCATTCTGATAAAAAAAATTATAAGCTTTAATTAAAAATACCTATTAATCCATCAATCAATATGTACTCATAACATTATTAAGGGTCATTTGGTATGGCTAAAGCTTCTGATAGAAGTTCTATTAAAAAGAATCTAGTTACACAAGTGTTGTTTTTGAAAAACTGAAAATATTTGGTAAAATTTTTTATAAAAGTATTTGTAGAGTTAAAAGTCGTTTGGTAAAATTTTTTATAAAAATTCTTTTAATGTTAAAATGACTGAAATGAACATTTTTACTTTAATCCTCACTCTCACTCCATTTTTTTTTTATTTTTTATATAACTTTATTTTTATAATTAATTTAAGGTTAATGATTAAAAATTAATTATTCATATTTTAAAATATAAATGTTATATAAACGCTTATATTTTAATATTAAAAAATAAAATATAATATATTTAATCACCATCCCCATTCCAGATTTTTTTTATATTTTCATATGATTTTATTTTTATAATTAGTTTAAGGTTGATAATTAAAAATTAATTATTCATATTTTAAAACATAAATGCTATATAAATACTTCTATTTTAATATTAAAAAATAAAATATACTACATTTAATCACCACTCCCACTCCAAAATTTTTTATATTTTTATATGACTTTATTTTTATAATTAATTTAAAGTTGATGATTAAAAATTAATTATTCATATTTTAAAACATAAATGTTATATAAATGCTTATATTTTAATATTAAAAAATAAAATATACTACATTTAAGTCATGTAAATAAGACAATTAAAATTTAAATTTATGCCAAATAATCATATTGATTGATTTTCCATTAAGGATAAAGTTATGAAATCTCAAAGTGAAATCATGTCACGATTCTTCGTTGTACTAACAAAATTATTTTGAGAAATTTCTTGATCCATGCTCTTTTCTCCAAGTACTTCAAGCATATAATTTTGGTTTTGATTACACCTATCAAACAGAGCCACAGGATTCTAGAACATAAATTTCAGAAAACAGAAAACAGAGCACTATTGCAATTGAAATAATTTGGCACAAAAAAAATCACGATTAACAAAATCAGGGAAACACCACAACAGTGTGCCATATTTTCTCCTATTACAAAACTGTACTCCAAGTTTTTTTAGATTCGATCTCCAACTTCTTTCTGTGCTAATATATGAACATTAACCACACATGGAAATTAAGATACTTGATTTTTCCTTACATGGAATTCAGGTTCCTACATCACATATATATACAGACTAATTGTCCTTAAATTGAAAGAAAATTTTCATTTTTTACATTATTTTATGCTATACTAGTTATTTGAAACTATAACCACACATTTGGTTTCAACTTTAAAAATTTTTTGTCCATTTTTTCTTCAAGCAAAAATATACTATTTTTGTCACACCAATCACTTCTAAAAGCAAAAAACAATTAAAATCTAATGTTGATGCTCTCTAACTAGTGCAACAGCTGAAATAACTACATTCGAAAGAATCTATACTTTGAAACTAATTAATTAATCTATATATATACCTTTCTTAATTTACAAGTTAGTGATACACCAGTAACAATGGAAGTAGCTACTATTCATGCAAATAAATATCAGAATTAAAGAAGGTAAATATTGGTTTAATCTAAGGTTCACATTATACAAAGTGGATTCCTTTTTGGTATTATTAATTCCCTGCAAAAGAAGATTCATGTTTTGGAATGAAGCTGATCAAGCTAACCCACCAAAAAAGTATAAAGGCCTAAAGAAGAAGTTCATAGAACATGAATCCAGAATTCAGTCAAGCATATTTTAATGTCTCAACAAGAAAAAAAATCTTTTTAAAATATGATGCATGCTGAATAAGCTAAAACTAGGGAAGCCTAATATCTCACTGTTTGAAATTACAGTATTCTGACTACTAGAGCCCTTATGCTTCCCATTCATTCCCTCTTAACGGAACCATTGATGTCAAAATGAAAATAGTTCAAGAAATCATTAGAAAATAAAAAGGGAGGAATTTTTAAGGGGAAAAAAACAATCCAAGAGCAACCTCCAACATTCAAGTCATTAAACACAATCAATCAACCCTATAAACAAATTTTGAGAACGAACATGTCAAAAACTAAAAATGAAATAGCAACAATAGCAAATTGTTGAAGCAAACTAAGTGAGCCTTAAGTAGAGGTCATCAAAATCAAATATCCAAACTGCACCAAAGCCAATAACCACTACATAAAGAATTCCATCACTGAAGTAAGGAATATAAACAGCACTAATATATATAGGCAAAAGGTACCTGTTTGCTCTTTAACTTTTGAATTTGAGGCATTTTACCCTCCATATTACAATACATGGATTTTTACTCTCCATATTTTCAAGTTTGAGGAAATGAGGCAAAATTTAACATTGGAGCATCACGTGTAACATGTGCACCGTTGGCCTCCGTCAAGTATGCACATGTCAGCGCCAACTCAAACTTTTTTGACAACTTGGCATGCCAACTTGGACCCCCATGAGCAGGAAGACTACCTGTTGCCAATTTCATTTGTGGGCCCCATCGCTGACTAAAGGTTTGAAAAAAAAAAAAAAGACAAATGAATGCAAAGAAATCTATTTAAATGATCCCAAAGGCACAAAGAGTTTTGAGTTTCCTTCTCTTCTCTAATCTTTAGATTCACACCCATTTCATTTACTTCCTTGTTCAATGGCTAGCTCCAGCAGCTCTCACACTTCAACACTGGTGGAATTTGGAAGACATGAGTATGATTACGAGGGGCCAAGTCGATTTTGCTTTTGTGGTTTGAAGGCTCCAAGGATCATGTCTTGGAGCGAAAAGAATCCTGGTTGAAAATTTTTTGGATGCCCAATCTATGATCCCATGGTAATTTCTTCCCTAATGTTTGATTTTAAACTATTGTGTTATTTAGGGGTTTTTTTGTTAAGATATTTCACAGGGATTGTGTGGTAATGTTTAGGGTTTTGCTCGGCATAAAGATTGGGTTTTGACTAATTGTTAATGAAATGTGATTTTTGGACATTTGCAGAATAAAAAGCGACAGTGTAAGTATTTTGTATGGTATGATCAAGATTTCTGTTTTAGGGCTAAGGAGGTTATCTCCTGGTTGCACAACAATAAGACAAAATTGGGAACTGATTTGGATGATGCAAGGGAAAGGATCAAAGCTCTTAGGAATGCTTTGAAGCGTTATGAAGAAAAAGGAGAGCAACAGATTGAGGCATTGGAGAAGAAAGTTAATGATTTGCAAATGTTGGCAACAATGACAATGGTGTATGCTGCGAAGCTAGAGAAATGGAAGAAATGTGGTCGAATATCTTTGGTCGTGGCTGTTTCCTTGCTATTCTACTTGCTTTTTTCTTGTTTAGGAGTTGGGTTTTACTTGTTGATGCAAATAGGGGTTTCAAAAGGCTTGGAAATTAAGAAACTAGGCAAATGGGGATAGTTTTGTTTTTTTGGGCATTATCTGTTTTTTGGTGGGCAATGTGGTTGTCTTGAATGGTAGTGTTGAAGGTTTGTAGATACTACCCCCAATAATTCTCATATGGGCCTCATTTCTCCCCAAGCTTTGCAATTTATTTTGGATATAATGGATATAAATTAACTTCTCCAAAATTGTTACCTCATTTTTTTAATATTGATCAAATGGAAATAGCTATTTGTGCTATTAATATTAACTATATTAACAACCATAAAAGGTAAAATATCATTTATCATTAATTGATATAATGAATATAAATTAACTTCTCTAGAATTGTTACCTCATTTTTTTTAATATTGATCAAATGGAAATAGCTATTTGTGCTATTAATATTAACAATATTAACAACCATAAAAGGTACATAAATAAGGAAATATCACTTACCATTAATTGATAATATAAGCCAAAAGGATTACATTTACACAATTATCTGGTTAGGATTGCACAAAAGCTAACAAGAAAAAAAGATATCCACCATTTTCTCAGAATTTCATCCCATACTCCAAAAATCCAAAATAAAAAAATGCTACATATTCTTGCCAAATACAGATCCTACCAAAGTAGATACAAGAGCATGTGAGTCACTTTGTTTCCATGCATTTACTGTATTTACATATTACCTACAAAAAACACCTTCTGCAACCTTAAACCAAAGTTCTTTATTCCCATGCATCAAACCAAAAAAAAAAAAAAAAAGAAAAAGAAAAAAAGAAAAGAAGAACCATTCCTCAAGCTTCACTTGATCCTTTCTTCTTGGCTGATTTCTAAGGTGGCTGTGCCTTATGAAATTGGCTAGGATGGGTATGTCTCATAGTAGTCTCCCCTTGCAGACCTTGCTGCATAAATTAAATTCTAGTATTAGAAAATATATGATCAACACAATTCACACTCTTAGTTGAATGTTAAGCTTAAACTCACAGGGTTCAATTCTGGTGAATTAATGTATTCACCAAATCTGTGCTTCTTCTTCCTTCCTAGTCCATCAGATTGACCAGACTGCATAATAAAAAAACAGCAACAAGAATAGACACACATAATTGGCAATAGAGCACTATTAATAGGAAATTATAGATCCTAAGCAATTACCACTCAATAAACTTACATTTTCATCAACAAAATATCTAGCAGTACATGTTGTCCTAGTGTGACCAATCTGTTTATAATATCCACAAGTTGGAGGATTTCTTGGTATTGGCTAGTGAGTGCTTGCTGATGCTCCCTATTGAGTATGAAAAAAAAATGTCATTATATTATCATTTGTTGATAATAAAGCAGGTGTAAATAATTAACTTACTTCACTTTCAGTTAGCCTTTTGGGGCATCCCCTCTTGTTGTGTCCAGGTTGCTTGCAAAGTGACCACGTGATTTGTCCACCTTCCTTTGTCATCTTTTCTAGCTGTCCCACCTTCACCTTTCTGGTTTCATTATCACCTCTCATCCTATTCACCTTAGGCCTACCCTACTTGCATCTAAATGGTAGTGGTTCTAGTGGCTCCCCATGATAATTTTCCCAGAATTTCTGACCATTACAAAGCATGATTGGTACATTGTATGCACGTTTATACTTAACCCTTTTGTACCAAATTGATACAAATTCATCCAGGTCGAAGTTACCTAAACCTATCGCAAACAATGCATGAGGACATGGAATTCCTATTAAATCCCATGTTCTACAACTACACTTTTTCCCAATCAAATCCATAACAAATTTGCCATTCCAATGCTAAACATCATATTGGGTCTTGCCATTCCATTCACATCTGCATTTGGTAGCTTCAATCTTATGTGTTTCTAATTTGTTCCTACTTCTTGGTGCTATATCTCCTCTCCATTTGCTGATTTCTTCTCTATTCTTAGCCATCCTAACCATCACCTTAACCCTTATATATTCTAACAGTTGGATGATTGGCATATACCTGGCATCCATTATCCAATTGTTGAAGGTCTCATTCATGTTGTTATCCACCACATCATATTTACATGATGTGTCAAAGAATGCCTTGCACCACAACTCTGGTGGGATTGATTTTAAGGCATCATGACCTTCCACGGTTAAATTTCTGATCTCCTCCATGTTTTTGTTGAATTGACCTTCATACATTGACCTTGTAGCAATTGAGAATCTTTTCTTCAATAGTTTCCCTTTGAAAATTTTTTGCCAATTGGCATATAAATACTTGGCACACAATCTATGCCTAGCCTCTGGGAAAACTGTTTATCTTGCAATAATCAACCCCTACCAAATTGTGTTTAATGAAAACAAATAAGGTTAATGACTGATAATAAAGTCAATTGAATTATACAATAAATAGCATTGATGATGATAGTAACATAAACATATTGATAATATAAATTAATTCATAATAAATTGTGCACACTTATAGGATGTTGGTTCGAATTAACGTTAAGTCTTGCCCAGTGTGATTTGATAGATCATCAGCTAGGCATAAAAAAAAAAAGGTCCATGAGTTGGTAGAATCTGAGTCAACAACAGCCCAAGCTATTGGGAACATTGGATTGTTCCCATCCCTTGCAACAGCTGCCAAAAGAGTTCCTTTAAACATCCCCTTGAGGAAACATGCATCTACTCCAATTACTGGTCTACAGCCCAGTAGAAAACCCTTCTTACATATTTCTAGACACACATAAATTCCTTTAAACGTAGGTTTTCCCTCTGGAGTTGTGGGTGGCTCACTGTCAATTTGAACATTTGATTGAGGGGACAATCTCAACAGCTCTTCTACATACCCTATTAACTGAGCAAATTCCTTCGTGTGAGTTTCCTTCACCTCCTTTATAATCCTTTCCTTTGCTAGTTTACACTTATCCCTTGAAACATGAATTCCTAATTCTAAATGAGACAATCTCACTACCTCACTGATTTTGATCTGCAGATCTGCAAAAATTCTATTCTTATGGTGTTTTGCAAGTACCCTCAACCCAACCATGTCGGACTTCAAACTCCTAAAGCAAGTGTGTTCCTTGCAATATGTCTTCACCTTAAAAGTCTTGTCATTTTTATCAAAACTAGCAAAGATACTCCAATTGCACTGTTGATCAACACAGTGAATTCTCTGCCTGGTGGGGTCACTTTCAACAAGTTTCAACCTACAGCCTTTTTGAATTTGGTACGTAGCTATAGCCTCCTTAAACTGTGCTACATGCTCAAACCTCATCCCTACCTCAAACCAAATAGTAGTCCATGAAGGATTAAACCATAAATCACTACTTTTAGTAGTTCTTACATCTTCTTCTTCTTCTTCTTCAAGTTCATGTTCATTTGCAACATTGTACTCACTTGAATCATCACTAGAAACCTCAAATTCATCTTCACTATTTTCAAAGCTAGAATCAGAACCCAAATCTCCATGGTCATCAGTTCCTATAAGAACCCTTTCACCCTCTTCATTAACTGTGGTAGGGGAGTCATGGACTGTGCCGCTTGGTCTAGCACCATCTGCATTTTTTCTTGCACTTGCACTGGCTTTATGTTTCTTTTGTTGCGAATAGATTCAAGCACCTCCTCATCATCTGCATCACTAGGCACAATATCAAGCAAATCCTCATCATCATGATCATTCTTCTCTTGATCTTGTTTTTGGGTTGCAGCACCTCCATGTAGTACATCTATTTCATCAGCGTCACCTTCAGTTGTTTCTGGAGCTTCATGAAAATTTGGGGCTGGTTGTGAATATTGTGTCACACAACCTTCCCCACTATCCTCATCATCTGCATCATTATGCACAATATCAAGCAACTCTTCATCATCATGATCATTGTTCTGTAGATCTTCTTGTTAGGTTGCATCACCTCCATGCATTGCGTCTGTTTCATCAACATCACCTTTAGCTGCTGTTTCTGGAGCTTCATGAAAATTTGGGGCTGGTTGTGAATTTTGTGTCGCACAACCTTCCCCAATGTCCATTATACCTTCATCAACTGGTTCTTGCAGAACAGTGCCATCTTCAAGCAAATCCAAAATGTCTGGCTCATCATAGACATGCTCAACGTACACATCTATAATTCTCCTTTCATTTAAAATGTACCGCATGTGAATAAGCTCCTGCTTACTATTTATAACGTTTACTGCTTCACCAAATTTTTCCACATAAGGATCTTTGTAATAGATGTCTTTAAAATGCATATATCCAAGGCTTTTTACCCTCTCCTCTAAATACGACAAAGTCACACAATAATATTCAATATCTTCATCGTGTACTTCACTTGCAACATACCTAAGATCCTTATTACTACTCATAAAAAAAGTGCCACTATGTTGAATTCTTAATGTCCCCATTGCTGTCACATGGGAAGAAAAAGATATAAATTAATATAAATTAACACACGTTTAAGCATTAAATCTATAAATCAAGTTATTGCTTACAAATTTATAGATTTAAAAATAACTAATTTACAGTAATAGCATAAATCTTAAACTAAAATTTCTTCAATACTTGTACAATCATGATTGAAATTGAATTCAACACTAACAGAAAAAGCAAAAAAAAA